AAAAAAAAAAAGAAAGCAACTTGTACTAAGGGCACCACAGAATGTCAAATAATGAGCCAAACTTAAGTGGCAGGTCCCCATCTTCTTGCCCTTCTCCCCAAAGGCAATTTTGTGGATTTCTAGTTCTCTTCTTTAAATAACTTTTATGAATTTACTTGTCAAACAACTGCTATCCAACCTGCATGATTTATTTTTCTGTTGAGAAAGAATATAAATTGCTATATTCCAAGCCACCATCCAAAGAGGGCTTCTCCAGGTCATCGGGTCCCCTATGATAGATACATGTGTCTACAGGGAATGTTCAGATTTGGTTTGCAGATTTTCTCTCATGACCTTCTTCCCTAAAAAATGCCTTCCACAAAGGGAAAAGAACATTGCCTAGAGTGAAGGGTTAATCGGCTTTGACTGGCTTTCCAAACTCTGACTGGAGTATCTGTTGCCACCTAGGTCTTGAGCCCCGAAGCAAGTGTGTCCCACTGAGTAAGGGTCTCACTCCCTACCACAACCCCAAATGCCAGCTAAAACCTTCATAGCGCTCGCTTCAAATCAAAGAATGAAGCAAGACGCCCAAGGACTTGTGGCTTTGCTGAGGGAGATGTGGTTAGCCACATCCATCCTCCTGCAGCTTCAAACTCTCTCACTAGAGGCCAGCAAAGACTCCGTTTGCTGCAGATTGTCGGAACTAAAACCTGGCCTGGAAAGAAAACCAGCCCATTAAAGGAGCCCTGGCCCCCAAGAATAGGATGGAGGTGAAGGGGCATAGGAGGCAATTGTGACCAAGCCCCCCTCACCTCGCTCCCCAAAGCAGCAAAGACTTCAGTGCTGCAGACCTGAGCCACATGTTGGGAAGGAGTGACACCTGTCCTCGGCACCCTGCCCAGCCTTGCAAGCCTCACTGCTCTACAAGGCAAACTCAGAACAGGGAGCCTCCCGCGCCAGACTTTCTGGGGACCAAGGAAGCAACTCACAAAGGAGTGGCCCACCACCCAAGCCTGCAAAAACTCAAGTGACCTCCGAGGAATCTCTGTATCCCCACGACTCACAGTGTTCACATCCAGCACGGAGGTAACAGTGGTTCTGTTAACAGAACTGGACACCTTAGTTCACTCTTGAGGGGTCCCTTCCCCAGAGCTGTTTCCTCTGAACCCTCAAATCTGGGGCAGATCCAGGCCACCCACACTTACACTACCAGCTCAGTGGATGACTGGAGGTGGCCTTGTCATACCTTAGAGTCCCCCAAACCCAGCCAGTTACAGAAGAAAAAAAAATCCAGCTCAACCTGAAAATGTTCAGCCTTGCATGAAGCATGCCAGGCATCCTTATTTGATTTTATTGCCACCACCAAGGGCCCCTGAGTGACAATCCCTCTTATTGCCCGGCCTTGTTTGTCTTCCTATTTATAGTCCACAAAGACGGGTATTTTGTAGAAGAACTGGAAAATGTCCTAGCTGTGACTATGACGCCTGAGTGGGGGAGGGAGGAGAGGTAGGGAACAAAGGGAAAGAGGGGGACCGGCAAAGCTAAAGTGTCTTTCCCACACAGCTATCGATGCTTCTGATACATTCAGGGAACTTTTAACTCCAGGGCTCTGGCTGGGGATGCAAACACTTCCTCATACTGGTTAGAACTCTTAGATTGCAAGGGACAAAAATAAACTTGTTGGCTTAAGCAAAAAACGGAGGTATGCGTCATATGAAATGGACATCTCAAAAACCCAAGGGTGAGGCGCAGTGGCCTGGAGAAAGACTGGAACTGGCTCTGAGGCAAAGCTCTTGGGGCCGGGGGTGACACCACCCTCCATCTCCTGTGGCAGTCCACTTGGCCGAAAACAGCCACCTCACATGGGAGTCCAGGATCAGGCACCTGCAGAATCAATTCGCAGCACTTCAGCCCCAATTTCAAAACCCCAAGACAGATTCACTGGCCTAGTTCAGGGGTCCACCTATGGGCCATTCAGTCAGGATCAGGCAGGGGACCCAGGCAGGCAGGGGACCCAGCACAGCCAGGGCTGCCAGGGGGCCCCTATGTCAACGTGCTTGGGCTGCTCTAACAAATGCCACAGACTGGCTGTCATAAACAACTGGAATTTTCTTTCTCACAGCTCTGGAGGCTGGACGCCCTTGACCAAGGTCTCAGCAAAGTGAGTTTCTGGTGAAGGCCCCTTCCTGGCTGATAAAAGGCCTGAGAGAGAGCTTAGGTCTCACAACAGTCCCAAGGGACTGCTATTCACTCCCCAGCCTTAAAGACATAGAAACCAAGGCTCAGGAGTAAAAGAACCTGCTTGGGTGACACAGCCGTGTGGCAGAGTGGGGTCTGACTGTTAGCCCACACTCTCCTCACGATGCCAACACACATGGGCCCTCCAGAGGCTTTGGAAGAGACAGAAAGCAGCAGAAAGAGGTAACAAGATGGGGGGCTGGGCTGTGAGGCATGAGGGACAACACGTCCTCACACTTCTAGGTCCTGTACGCCTGGGGGGGGTCACTATGGCTTGGGGCAGATGGAGTACTGAACACAAATGTCCTTGAAGCTCCTGTAAGGGGGGGCTGAGAGCCCAACATAGGAACCATTGGGAGATCTAAGTATCTAACATCCACCCTATATAAGAAATGGCCACACCAGCAGCTAACCGTGAGCCACTCAAGCACTGTGGATTCAGAGAGGAGCACCTTTGGGTGGCCTGGGAGGACAGCAGGGCGGGGGGGAGGGGTGGTGTCTCAGTTCAGTCAGTGAGGACACAGCCCACAAAACGGCCTCTTAATTCCTGTTCCCACAGGTAACCACAGAAGCTCTTTCTCCAACATTTCCTCCAAAGCTTCACCAAGGCAAAAGCTTCTACTCTCTACAGCCCTGAGGACTGGGATGGAAAGAGCCAGCCCTGTGCTGAGCCTGACTTCAGGCAAGTCCAGGCCTTTGTGGCCCTCCAGGTCCTTGGCTCCAGCATGAGGAATCCTGAGGGCTATGCCTCTTGTTTCCACATCTGCAGATTTAGGAAAGATGAGATAGGAGATTCTGGTGCTCATTTGGGGGCAGAGAGAGGCAAGCCTAGTTTGTCACAGCAGGGGACAGGGCTTGTGGTTGCCAGTTCAGCTGCAGACCCCAGGAAGAGCATCTGTCCTGGACAGAACACCAGTACTTGACCAAAGTTCTCACTATCACAAATCAGGACACGAGCGCTCCATGTTTTCTGCAATGACCAGGGTAAACACCAGGAAGCAGGGACAGTCCTCTATTCTCAGCTCTCGAAGGACCCACCTGAGACACCACTGAGAATGAGACTGAAGGAGCTCAGCTAATGATCTGAGCCTTTAAACCAGAGGTCATCACCGAAGTTACTATAGTACCAGGTGCCGCC